TTAGCCTAACTGTTTCCTATTGTTTTTCTTCTTCTCACTGTTATAGCTGTTATCTAACTTTTTTAAAAGATTCTCTTCAGTCTAACTATGTAGATGACAGGGTGCGTGTGGCCCAGTGGTCGGAGGCGCCCTGTAACATCCACGTAGGATCGATCCCCGTGCCCATGGCTCACGAAGCCTTCCATCCCTCCGGGGTCGGCAAATTGGGGTGAGACTTCTCTGGAAGGATAGCAGCTTTGGCTCGATATATCGATAGGCCATCGCAAGTCATTGTAAAGTTCAGATACGCATTCAATCACCTCTAATGATGCTTATTGAAGTCGAATGTATGGCGCATCCCTCAGGGATTGATCAACACCGAAAGCTTTATCCTCTAGCTTTATGCAGATGATTTCTGTTACGTAGGAGTGTTCAAAACTTGGTGCTGAAGCTTTCCTAATGACATTTAGTGCATTATTTCATTTGATTTTTGCTGCAACTTTGTTTCGTTTTCCGTTCAAATTTCACCGAATATAAAGGATGAAAAAGGATGAAGCTCTCGACGTTGATCAATCCATTAAGGATGCGCCATGCATTCGACTTCATTAAGTGTCGTTAGAGGTGATTAAATGCATACCTGGCCCCTACAATGCCTCGCAGTGGCCTACCGATGTACTGAGCTAGTGCTGCTATCCTCCTAGAAAAGTCTGGTACCAATTTGCCGACCCTGGATGGATGGAAGGCTTCGTGAGCCATGGGGACGGAGATCGGTTCCACGTCTGTGTCGCAGTGGCGTCTCCAACCACTGCGCCACACGTGCCTTACACTCACCGAACATATTTTAGCAAATACGATCGTTGGTGTTCATAATGAGATCTTATAAACTGTTCTTTCTAAACAGCAACCCTACAACAATAGTTCTTTGTCATTTATGACATTTTCGTTTAGTGATTTTTACTCTTCCCCCCAATGGTTTACCGCCTCTTTAGCTGGAAGATGTTCCTGGGTGTCGGTCTGCAATGTAGAGAGGAGGGAGTGGCGGATTCATACCTCAACAGGGTCTCCCAATCTGAAAAGAGTCCGGACTTTACCATAAAGAAGTCGAGGTAGGAATAAACCAATATTAGGACCTATTACTGCCTTGGTATCAAACTAGTCGCATAGTGGCAAATCTTCTTCTGATCCACAAGGACGACGACTGGCTGTGGTGGTGACGAGCCCGTGCAGACTTTGGGTAGGCTGGCCTTAGAACTCCAGGGAACCATAATGACTAAGCCAACAAAACTCCGAAACAATGGACAACGGAAATTGGGCTGGCACCCGCTCAGCCAGTGAAGACGGCCCGTACAAGTTGGGAATAAACTGGAAACTCACTAGTTCGTCGTACTCATGCTCACGTTTTCGGGAAAAAAGTAGCGTTATTGAACTGGAAGGTATGCCTACCGAAAGTGCAAAACTAATATCTTACCATCGTTCTAATCCACAAATGCTGACGACTTTCTTTAGTGAAGATAAGCAGAACAGCCTAGTACGAGTATCCTAGAATTCCAGGAAGAGTCTTCTCAACCAGCATTCAACAACATTTATAAAGAAGACAAGAGATCGTTAAGCAGCAACCGAATTGTCACGCAAATCCAAAAAGCTTTGTCGGTAACAAATGCGAAGAGAGGAATCGAATGCAAGAAATGCAGGGATCCGAACAATATATGATGTCGGATCTTAAAAAATGAATTAAAATGATTAACAAATAGAAGGTTGAAAAATGACGACCTAGTGAATCATTGCGTATACCTGAGTGAATCTAACTGCACTTTCACAAGAAGGTGTCCATGAGTACGACATGAGAAGAGAGTGGAAAAGCAGAAATGAGTTTTTTCCTATCAATATGCTCCTTGTACAAATCAATCATTCTACACTCCAAGTCCACTGCCGCTACTTTCAACAGCAACTGAAAGTAGAAACCAGCGAAACTTACCAACACCAAATATAGACTTTTTGAATAAATGCCAAGAACCCTACAATGAATAGCAGGGATGAATGCCCACAGGTCACACGCGATCTGGCTCCGTGTGTTCGCATCAATTTTTGATGTGGGGTGGTACAGTCATCAACCATATGCGACTATAATCAGCTGTTCTAATCTTCCACAGTGGAAGTCACGTTGAAAGCAGTGTGTTTTCGAGAAGCCGTTGGTCATGTAATTGCTATAGGGATTTCCGTCTTTTTGTATGTGTTATTGAAGCATTTTGTCTGCTAAATTGCATGTCATTATACCCTTCCAGGCTCTGAAGAGGGCGGTACGTCCGAAACGTCAGCTACTGTTGTATTGTATTGTGTGTTTTTATATGGAAGTAAGTGTATGCTGTATGGCAACCTCGCGATTGCTGAACAAGAAAACGACGCATTCATATTCCTATGCCGAGGTTAATAGAAAGTCGATCCTGGGAACATTCAGCATTTCAACGAGAAGAGACTTCCCACATCGTCCACCTGTAGTCGAGTACAGATCAGATCCCGATTATCTTCATTAATGACGCTTGCAGAACAACAGAGAGGAGTAAAAGAAGTGCTGAAAACCGCATGAAACATGAAGACGGGTCACCGAATCGTTGATAAATTATTTTATTTTTACGCAACGTTGTCAACGAGATATCTAGTGATGGATTATATATTCTGTCACGAAAAAATCATGAGATTCTGGAGGCCACAAATCCTATAGAGGCGTTCTTAGCAGCATACAGGAATGACCGAAAATTGGTAGTTGACTGACAAATACGTAACTTGGAAACGTAGAGCGAAATGTACTTTTGAAAGCACAAGGTAAAATATGAGCGCTCAGTCATGGCATTTATTTTGAAACAAGGCGGTCAAATTTGAGCAGAAACGCGTTTCTCCCCAGAAAGGACAATAGCGTGTTCGTTCCCCACCGTACAAACCTGCGGTCCGGAGTTTTGCAAATATCTTAGCAGGATTTCATAACGTTTTTGAGAAGAAAAAATAGAACACCACTGGTTGAAGGTAGAGCTGTAGTGAGTTTATTCAATCAACAAAAGCGGTGTTCTATTTTTTCATTACCATCCGGTAGCCTAATAGGAGTAAACTTATGCCGCAACAGATCCCATCAAACCATTAATGATTGTTTTTATTAGAATCACTGGAAGTAAAAAAATATCATTCCAAAGATGTTCTTCGCTCTGTATTTGTCGAATTAGCGGACCCCGCTGGACAGTTCTAGCTTGAAACACGCGATGATTAATGAGATTATGAGTGATAAAGGTGATATCGATCTCATCTAAGTCCATGATATTTCAATGAAGCGAAAATTTCGACATTGAAGTTTTCCCAGCTTCTTTGCATGCAATGCTTATCGCTGTTCCACCCTGGGCACGGCGGGGCTGTTTTGTGATCGACCTTAGCTGAGAGTGCTTTTTGGTTTTCGGGAAGTGTTTGCAGTAAAAATTTATGCAAATTCGGTTGGTGTGCAGCTAGAGACTTGGGGAAATGCTATAGCTCTTTACTTGAGGTTTTTATTTCTTTCAAAACTCGACTTTCTTTAAACTTATCATGGCTGATCAATTTGCATTCTTTCATTGACAAGCTAATACGAGGCTGCTAAAAAAAATTTTACAGATAAGATATTCATATCAGCGTTGAACATGCTATGTTCCGGAAGGCTGATAGCAGCATCTCTACAGCAGACACCATCTCGTGGTCACTAGTGATTGAGTTCTGCATCAAGATGAAGAATAGAATTATGTGGAAATTTGTAAACTTGTATGAAAAAATTGAGTAAAGATAAAGGATATTTACTGACCACTAAGAGATGTACCAAGAGGCATAGCAGTGCCATCATAAAAGTTGGACGGACACAGTTTGAAATAAAGAAAAATTTTCAATCACCGAATGTTTTTGTTAAGAGCTTTTGATGCGGTTTAAGTATCAACTTATCGAGGAACGAATGAAGAACAATAGACCCACGTTTTGCATCTTGTGAAAATCAACCTAAACTTTGGTCAGAAATAGTGCGTGCGATAACGGAATCAAGACAGAAAGACCTTTCTCCCCATCTCATATGAATTCAACGGTATTGATGAGACAATTTCATTCATTTTGACTATCTTTCTAGAGAACTTTTCAAATAGACAATGAAGTTGTTCAAGCTGAGTTCGTTCTGTGGAAGAGGAAAGGCACGGTGTCAGTGGTCTTCATAACGGAGACATCCGCGGCTGATCCACAAGGCCGATTCCTAGTAGAGCATATTGAGTCATTACGGAGTGGATTGTAAGCAGGATCTCTCATGAAATATTGGCGTGTAAGCGAGTGTAGTCTTCCTAGTGTTGTGGCTACTTCTTTACACTGGATGTACCGTGCACTATCGTGTGTGGTTTTCTTCTTTACTCAAGACGACTCCCGCTTAGTCATGTTTTCTAAATCCACTTTACATTTACATTATTTTACTAAGGCGGAAACAATTATTTGCTATTCACTAAAACGAGCCGATGTTGTTCTGTCTTCACAACGAATGAACCTAACAACGGTTATCATTTCCAATATATTTCTTCAGCGATTATTGACTGATATTCTTTTCTGCATTTTGTGAAGCAGGTAGTCATTTTCATAAATAGAAGCCATTAAAGAATGTGCTTGCAATTTGAGTGCTACAATGGAAACGCTACTCTCAAACCTTCAGTTTTTTTGAGCAGTTTTAATCAGAGTCAATTTACCGCCATCGAAAGTGACCTTGAAACTATTGTTTGTTTCGCTGTACTCAACCGATCGTGTGAGAAAGTTGTCCTGGTTCATACACTGGGTCGCATAACGTCACTCACCACTCGCAACAACGAGAAAACGCTCAAACCAGAAAAACTCATTAATCAACATGCATTTCCCGTATTACAATACATGATGTAACGTGCTTAACACAATTTATGGTAACATTCATTTTTATCAAATAAATCTTTTGAAAGCACGAGGTCATAGAAATGATCACCATGTACTTGATCTTCCAAATTAATTAAGACTTAATAACCAGGAGCAGTTCGAGGGGGAGGACAATGATCGCAACTACCTCCGGACCCTGGCTGTCCAACTGCTCCTTGTTCTCCAGGAGCACCTGGATTTCCTGAAGGACCATCTCGTCCAGGGTCTCCAGGTGGTCCTTGAGGTCCGTCGTGTCCAGGCTGGCCAGGTGCTCCCGGCCTTCCGTCTGGGCCGGGTAGTCCAGGCGGTCCTGGAGGTCCAGGGGGTCCATCTGGGACGGGTACCTCCTCAATAACTCCAGGCTGCCCTTGCTCACCAGGAAGGCCTGGCTCTCCGTCGGCACCAGGAGGTCCTTGTGGACCAGGTGGACCAGGTAGACCCGGTTGTCCATTCGGTCCGGGCTCTCCGTCAGCTCCTGGATTGCCATTCGGTCCTTTGGGGCCTGGTTTTCCAGGTGGTCCTGGCGGTCCTGCAGGACAGTCAAAGCAGAAGTCTTCAGCTGTGGGCACTGCATCAGGATCAGCATCAGCACCAGGTTCTCCATTTGCTCCAGGCAAGCCATCTCTTCCATCAGTTCCGTCTTGACCAGGAGGCCCTGGCGGTCCAGCAAGCCCTGACTTACAGCTGCAGCATGTACCTGCTAGCTGGGCGGAGCTACCTTGAACTCCAGCGTCAGACGGACCGTTGTACTGGGGAACATCGTACCCAGCCTGTCGTTTCACGATCCCTCCTCTAACTCCTTTAACTTGTTGCATGCGTTCGTACTGGTCAAAAAGCCCGTTTGTCCTGTGCTTGCAGAAGTCAACTTCTGTTTGCAACGAAGACTGTACAAGTTGCATGTAGTTGTACAAGGAAGGAATAGCAACGATAGCAGTTAGTGTAGCGACGGTACTGAAATAGAACGAAGAAAGCATATGAGAAGAAAGGATTAAAAAAGCGAGCCATTTCAGCATAGGTAAATACCCAACAGATTACCTGATGCAAATGCCAAAGAAGGCGACACGGCGAAGCCCCTCCGCTTCATGCCAAAGCTTCTTCTCGTCGTCGCTATTGGGAGAATACATGACGATACCTTTCGGATGGCCTCGGGCAGGTTTTATATTGATGACATTGTCCCGCCCCTTCTATCGGTTTACCGGTCCTTGTAGGGAACTTCAAGGGATTTTTACACTATGATGCCACGGCAAGCGTGAGAATAGTGCAATAAATCAACAGCGCCTCCGAGAGGAAGATGCCGTATACATCATACTCTGTTGAGTGAAGAAGATAGGTCTTCGACGCAAGGAGAGACAATGCACGGGATAGAGGACGATAGTCGTCTTCCACCGTGAGGAACGTAGTGGCGTGCAGTAAATCAAACCCCGAGTAGTATTTACACTTATGAAACACGAAGCGGTAGATTCAACAGCTAGGAATTTTAATATTCGTCATAATTTCCTATCAGTTGCAGTTCAGATTCGTTTTTAGTCAAGCATATTCAGTTATCGATGACTGAGCGGGCGTCAGATTCCCACAGATTTCAAATGTTCGGACTTATTCGGCCTACGTGCACTTTTTGTTATCAGACCATTTGTTCATTCTCATGAAGCAGCTTTGTGTTGATTCCCTGAAATATTGTAACTCAAGTGTTTTTTTTCGATTTTTGTTGATAACATAGAGGACTGTAAACTTTACAACTGAGAGAAGAAAGCAAACAAGTGGTTGAAGAATCTACTGGCTTGCCAATTAGAAACCATCAGATGCGTGACGCTTCTCTCTTGCCCGCTTACAAACTCATTTTCTTAGTTTCAAATTTTTGTTGTACCTATGGTCGCATGGTTTGCAGCTCTCTCATCTTCTTGCTGTGATCATTTCTCTCAGAACGCATTGAACAAATGGGTGCACCATTTCAATCACAGATATTTTTTTTTCCATTCGGTACGGAATATGGCAATATTCAAATGAGAATGAGAATCATAATAGTCTAATAGTAACTTTCTTTGGAGAACCCATGGCATCATAAACACCTGATTAAACCAAGCTACCCCTTACTACTCAGGAGTTCTAATGGATGGAAAATCTGACCAGCTCTATTACTATTAGACAGATTTTCTTCGTATAAAATCCCTCAATATCAATCAATAAAAAGAATCCCTCAGTTGTTGCTCCATAGCTGACTCAACAGAAAGGCTATGTTACATATGTTGTTTCAGAAACTCAACAAAGAATCCCTATTTCAGATGCACATGATTAACTGCTCCTTCCATGAATCGTTGTGAAACAGTCTTAAGACGGTTCCTCATATCTCTTTACTCCTTAGCATTTCAAGCCTATTTAAGGCCGTTATATTCAACATTCTTGAGGCGGTCGGTGCTTTCGATTGCATAGAACGATTTTCAGCGTTATTTCTTTGACTGACATTTCCATACTTAGTGGAAACCTCATAGAAAGCGGCTCTGAAGAAGGCGAAATCCGCCGAAACGTCAGCTTAATCGTGAACAAAGAATAGTAACACCTCGCGTCTGCTCAACAAAAATACGAAGAAAATCACTTGATCAATGCCGAGGTTAATAGAAAGTCGGTCGTGGCAGTTACTATTAGACAGAGACATGTTTGGTATACAGTAGTGAAGCATTTTGAGCATATCCAATTGATCTACTTTGCAATGCAACTATTCAATTCGAGCAGCACAGAAGTCGAGCCAAACGCTGTCAAGCATCAAGTTCTCCAACTTTTTATTGGTCATAAAGCGTAGGGGAGTGATTTCACTGCTTATTGTCGTTTAAATTCGCAAAGGTTAGAGAGATGAAAAGTGAGTGTATCGGTTCATTTAACCCAATTTCATAGTTTACATATATTATAATAACCCGTTTGTTTCCAACCGTTTTAGTGCATTTTTCAATGTTTTCGGTCTCGTTTATTGGACATTAACGACCTCTCTAATGGGAAAGGCGGCTGACAATGCTGACAAAATATGATAAGGCCTCGTTGGGCAAGAATAGTTACCGTTTTGGGTCTCGCTGAAAAGAAAAACCACTTAAGCAGCAGTGCAGAGCGTGATGTCAAACAACTTGCACGTCGGTGATTCGTGTACGAAATCTTATACGGTGAAAACGAAGGAAACGACCTCAGCTCTTCTTTTTCGCGTTACACATCTTCTCATTCATTCAATTGTGTGGTCAAATCCGCTTCGTAAACGAGAGCAGCTTCAGTGTCGCTCTCACCCTGGCAATATGTCATTCCTTCGAAAAAAAGGTACCGGATACCAAATTGCGAACATGATGGGAATTTGATGAAATTATCGCCTGCTAACTGGAACGTAATTATTCTGGCGTAGAAGTGGCGGAACGAAGAGGTTTCTAAACGGACGTGAAGAAGTGCTGCGCTTAGACAATTCCGAACGACATGCCAGTCAAAGAAATAACGCTGAAAATCGTTCTATGCAATCGAAAGCACCGACCGCCTCAAGAATGTTGAATATAACGGCCTTAAATAGGCTTGAAATGCTAAGGAGTAAAGAGATATGAGGAACCGTCTTAAGACTGTTTCACAACGATTCATGGAAGGAGCAGTTAATCATGTGCATCTGAAATAGGGATTCTTTGTTGAGTTTCTGAAACAACATATGTAACATAGCCTTTCTGTTGAGTCAGCTATGGAGCAACAACTGAGGGATTCTTTTTATTGAGACCGAGGCCCTTTAGTGATTTGTTGAATAGTAAATATGGGAGTTGGTTGGTCTGGGTTAAAGCTGTGTAAGCACGATGGAACGTATGAATGTGATACCCCATTGCCACATACCTTCACACTTCATTTCCCATAATTACTGTAAAACAAAAATTGACTGCAAAATAAGAAAGGTGCTAAAGAGATAATGAAAAAGCATTAAGGTGTATTTTCGGACTGTCAATCTATAGATGGATCGACGTTCACCTCCCAAATTTATAGACTGAATTTGTGTTCTTTTTCATATTCTTTAGAAAACTATGAATTTCATCAAGAATTACTTCGAGAATCGTTATTGTTTGATCGATTAGAAAAATTGCTCTTCACTAAATTCTACGTCATTTGCTTTCTCTGGTGGCCGACGAATCAGAGCCTCAGTACTACCAATCAAATCTATACTTCCTTGAGCGCTGATATAAGCGACTTAACAGTCGTTAAATAAAAATTTGCCAGGCTATACCATCGCTACAAAGAAGGATGATTTTTGTGTTTACAAGTGCAGCGTAATGTGTTCTTCGACCTTTGCTTTGTTCTAAAAAGTGTGTACCTTGGGCGAAGACCACTACGAAAACTTACGTCGCGTCATCGATACCCTCATCCTTTTCTCCTTAGTGTTATGAAACGGGAAATTTGCGAAGAATAGGACATCGAATGTTATTTTTCGTCCTCGTCGATAACATCGTGTTCTAGGCCACAATCCTTTTGAACAAAAGTCGTCTCTCTTTCTGTTTTTCCGCTAAGGAAGTCTAAAACGCCTTAAAAGAAACTGAAAGAATGTGGGAAATAAGGAGATGTAATAGACTGCTCGGTCCTCTTCTTGGCTTTTCCATTGACATGTTTTCAATATGCAGCTGCTATGTTAATAAAATAAGAGTTATTTTCTATCTTTGTGGCGTCCACATAGCACAGAAATAGAAATCGACAGGCACCATTAAATTGTCGAAAAAGGTTAACTTCGCTCCAAAGATAAGAACAGTGTATAAATACACATGTTTTTCGTATGAAGGTTTTATCTTTGCTGTTTTTGTCGCGAAGGAACCCTAGAGAAAACTTTTTGAGTATTACCACATGGGGCCGGGTATACAAACTGGCAACTCTAACCACCCATCTGGTTTTCAACCGTTCGTTTTCAGCTGAGCTGATTTCAGCTGAGCGGTCCCATGTCTTCATCATGGATGGTCGCCTGCTTTTGTAGATTTGAGACTGCGAGCTGATGCTAGAAAAGTTTGATACCATCTTCCAATAGCGAAGGGATGGGAGTTGGTTTGGGTGGCCCGAGGAATGTCAAACTACAGCCTTGTTCGTCTCGAACGGCGCTGCTACTGTTCTACCCACGAGTCATTCGTTAACATGTAGTCTATAAGCATGGGCGCGTGTTGCGCATTGGTCGGAGGTGTCCTGCAACACACACGTGGAATCGATCCCCGCGCCCATGGCCCACCAAGCCTTCCATCCCTCCGGCGTGGCAAATTGGTACCAGACTTGTCTGGGAGGATAGCAGCACTGGCTCGTTACATAAGTAGGCCACCATGAGTCATTGTAAAGGCCAGATATGCATTCATACACCTCCAAACGATGCTTAGTGAAGTTGAATGCATGGGACATTCCTCAGGGATTGATCAACGCTGAGAGCTTCATCCTTTTTATCCTTTTATAGTATATAAGCAGCTGCTATTGTCTTGTTTTATCTAACATAACCCGGCATCATACTTATTCTGTGGATCCAGGCACTTCTTGCATTCGATTCATCCTCCCCGCATTCTTCGTCCACCAAGAACTTCGAACAAACAGCGCGTTGTTTTGGCTCCAGCTTCAGGGATTGTTGTCATCTTTATGAATGTCGTAGAATGCTGGTCGAGTTGATTCTACTTGTCGTCTTAGAGGTAGCTGAGTTAAGGCGTTCCCACGTGAACTGGAGGAAAGCATGGGGAACTAGCATCTTGTTTTCTGATTGACTGCATCACTAGTCACTGGGCTACTCGACATCGCTTAGCTTTCCGCAAGACGAATAAATGAGAGTTGTTGCATAACGTTTCAAAGCCAACGGAAGGATATTGTGTGGTAGTGAGTTGTTTCAGAGGACATTTCATTTTACAAACCACAACGATGCTGAGATATTCGCAAAACTTGGATTCCGAGGTAGATCGAACCACGATTTCCCTTTCCGGGGGCTCGCGCATTACATACTGCGCCACGGAATCGCTTGCTCTGCGTTTCTCTCATCTATTTGTTCATCTACCAGTACCATCAGCAATCAACCAACAACAGATTTGATTTGGGGAGCCTATGTCGGCACTGAACCGAGTTAAGTTGTGGTTGCAGTCGAAATCTCAATGTTTACTTTTTATTTGCTGCCTACTACAATTTTATTTCATGTTTGGAATAATTCTTCACTTACAACTCTACTTTCTTTCGGCCATTCCCGGTCAATAACTTTAATTTGTTGGAAGATTGGTTAAATCTTTTAGTTATGGTATCTGCGTGTGAGAGTATGTTCATCATCGGGTGCGTGAAGCACAGTCGAGAGAGATTCCTTAATGTGCGCTGATTCTTGTCACCTTCGTTTTTCACCATTAGTTTGATTACTATGACTATTTATTGTCTATTTAATGTTTATTCATCTATTTAAGTAAAGAAACGTTTGCTTAAGTGTTTTCTGTCCATGATATTTCCTTGATTAACCTTTTCATGTTGCTAGCAGGTGAAACGCACTCTTGCAGTAAAATTCATGTCCCATTTTCTTCTCAGCTATTCTTCAGCTAACTTATGAAACTCATTAAGTTCCAATTGGTGCCGCGGTCCACTCTACTCGATTGGACTCGAAGAGGAAACTCTAGAGACTCAGGTCGGAAGTAGACACAGCTGTTGTGGACACTCGACTGAATCATTGCGGCTGCGGAGAAGGCGGTACCGCTGAAACGATAGCCGTAATAAAGATTTACAGCAATGCCGTGTTAGCAGTAAACCAAAACATTGGCTAGCCACACCGAGGCTCAGTGAATTCAGAATTGAAAGGCTGTAGTTTCCTAATTTTTTATGCTTTTTACAAATCGTTTGTTTAATGAAATTTGAAATTACTTTTATTTGGCACTAACTTTTTCCACAGCCCTTATTCAAGATTGTTCGAAACTTGAAAATGCAATCAATGGTGCGCATAGAATCATTCGATCGTCGAAATCCTCAGTGCTGTCCATTTTGTCAAATGTGATCACCAATGAATTCCTCTAACAGGACGAGCCTTGAAGGGAAATCGTTGCTTTACGGGTTTGGATTAATGACATTCAGTGCTGGATGTGATTCATAATACAAAAAGACTTTCATTAAAATAATAAAGCAAATAAATGCTAATAACCTATTACTTACATTCTGACTGCAGATCGAAGTATTTTTCACTCCAAGAATTATTTATGTCTGTTCACTGTAGAATTTTATCTTATTAGTGGAACCGTTCTATACACAGACACTTCTGATGTTAAGTATGTGTAAAATAGTTAGTTTCCTTGTTTACAGTCGTTTCTCTAGTTTTTTCCTTCGACTTTCGTTCTATGAATAGGACATCTTTCTTGTGTGGCAACATCATTTAAATACGTTCATAGATCGGTGTGCAACTAAATATGATGTGTTTTTTTTGACCATTTGCTACTATTGAGTGACATAAAAGCCAATATCGTCAAGTACAACATGTGCACAGCTTATGCCTACATTTTGTGTTGTATCTCTGCGCTAATAAACTGAAACTTTTATTTAATGAGGTCATATTTGTGAGAACAGGAAGTTAAAACAGACTAGTAATACTTATATACACAACTAATATCCGGGAGCAGTTCGGGGAGGAGGACAATGATCGCAGCCACCTCCGACTCCAGGCTCTCCGAGTGGACCCTGCAGTCCTGGAGCACCTGGATTTCCCGGAGCACCATCACGTCCTGGATCTCCAGGTGGTCCTTGTGGTCCATCTTGTCCGGGATGACCAGGAGCTCCTGGTGCTCCGTCTGGACCGGGGTGACCCGGAGGTCCAGGTGGACCAACAGGCCCGTCTGGAACGGGCACCTCCTCAAGAACTCCGGGCGGCCCTTGCTCACCAGGTCGACCGGGGTCTCCATCAGCACCAGGAGGTCCTTGTGGACCAGGTGGACCAGGTTGTCCTGCCAATCCATCGGGTCCGGGCTTTCCATCAGCTCCTGGATTGCCGATCGGCCCTTTGGGACCTGGGTTTCCAGGTGGTCCTGGTAGTCCTGGAGGGCAGTCAAAACAGAAGTCTTCAATCGCAGGCTGTGTATTGGGTTCAGCATCAAGACCAGGCTCACCATTTTTTCCGGGTACACCATCATTTCCATCGGCTCCGTCGACACCGGGTGGACCGGGTGGTCCAGCAAGCCCTGCCTTGCAGCTACAACATAACAAATTTGTTTGCTGGATGAAGCCAGCTTGAATTGCATCGTCAGAAGGACTGCTATACTCAGATGGAGTGTTGTACCCGGCCTGTCGTTTCATAATTCTTCCTCTAACTCGCTGAACTTGCTGCATTCGTTCGTACTGGTCAGAAAGTCCGGTCGTTCGATGTTTACAGAATTCAATTTCAGTCTGCAGTGAAGCTTGTACGTACTGCATGTAGTTGTATAGCGACGGAATAGCAACGATTGCAGTCACTGTGGCCACAGTGCTGAATTGTAGTGAAGCAGTGAGTAAGCAGAAATTTAGAGGCAAATAAGTTTTGAACCTATCAGAAAAGTTGTCCTACAAAAGTATTACCTGATGCAAATCCCAAAAAAGGCTATGCGTCGTAGGCTTTCAGCTTCATGGCAAAGCTTCTCGTCGGCGCTATTGGAGGAGTACATAGCGATAACATCAAAATCCTCCTGGCTGCTTTTATAGTGGAGTGTAGCACCGCCTCTTCTATCGGTTTACCGGTTCATCCACAAGTTTCTCGAGGCTTATTGCCCAATCCTTTGGAGCTAAGCAGCAATTCCGTTGACTTTCCTAGACAAATAAACGGTACAGCCTTATCAATTTTTCCCGAGTCTGTTGGCTGCTAACTCTAATGTGCTTGTCCTTTTTGAGATTTCAAGAGTGGACGGATAGCTTCTATTGAGAAATCGTCGCCCAAAACGGAAGCTGAATACGTATGTTTCCTGAACCTTCAGTGCAACCGCTTTGTATTTTAGAGCTATATTTGTGAAAACCATCACATCATCTAAAAACGAGTGCGACAGTTGTCGTCTTTTTTCTAATGGAATGAACCTTCTGTCCAGATATACTTTAGCAGAATTACTTGCACCATCATGAAACAATTACTACACCTTCAACTTAGAGTAGTTTAGTGCGTGTACTCTTTGTTCATCAAGCTGCTGTTCTGCACTTGCAAAGCGACCCATTAATCAAAGCACTTGCTTTACAGTCGCAAAAAACCAGGAGATTCTAGTTTGGCATTCATAACCGGGTACAATTACGCGACAATATCGAATCTCACAATTACTGCCGATACTACTTGGTGGTACTCTCGGAACCTTCGATTCGTTCCATCGCAAAACGGTAGAATGTAAATTTGAACATAATCATGAAGAATTCCCAACAAAGCAATTTGGAAAAGGCTATAATATTTTGATCAGAAATTCATCGAGTTTCATACTGAAACCGGGTTTAGTTAGAAGTAGCTATGCTTTTAGTGCTACGAGGACCAAAATTTCTTCGCATCAGAGCAAATATAGTTTTCCAATAAGTTCGGCGAATCAAATATCTATCATTTATCGTGAAAACCTGTAATTCTTGCCTAAATTTATGTAGGGATTCATTTACGGAGGATTCTTTAGGAAATGTATGAAACATGCTGTCTGCTAGATCAGAGGGCAATTGGATCACATTCATGACACGAATTTCCCTGCAGAAGTGAGCATATGGTCTTTTTTCTGCTCAAAGACGCAGATTCCGTTTTTTTCGCAGCGAACTGGCTGGAACGATTGCTGAGGTATGAACCATTTAATGAAAAGACCGCTTGCAAATTGTCGTCTTCTACTCAACATTTCATTACGTAATAATGTGTCTGCGAACGACAGTAGTCCTCTAGTTGGGAATGGGTCGCATTTTCTGCTTTAAGAACCACTCAAACAACTCCTCAACGTGGTTTTTCAAAATGTAGTGCGGCACATCGTGTTGTTGAATGTTTGTGTTCTGATTTTGTTGGTGCGCGCAAGAATTTAATATGGGCGAAGTGAGCGCGACAAGGTCGTGTGTGAAAAGACCATCGCCGGCGACCTGGCAAAACGGGAAGAGGCGTTGTCCCGTGAGTCCTATTCTTTCAAAATCAAATTAAACAGAGAACAATCGTAGTGAAAATTCGCAGATCGTAAGCGTATGATTAGCCAGTCATTAGAGCTTGTAAAAATTAACACAATGCCCATTACAAACCAGTTCTCACCTTTCAATTAGAGGTTTTTCCTGGCCACATTCAAATCGTAAGTGATAATGCTGTAGTCATAGCTTTTAAGACCGCGTGATGTTGCATGATTCTCCATTTGGCTAATAATATCGCTCAACAGTATGCTCACGGAAAACTGTTGTTACTTACCAGTAGTGCAGGATGAGGGCTTCTTTTGCTGAATGGCTTCTTACATTTAGCGGTAAGTAGTTAGAAAAATCTAGTGGGATCACGATTTCGACAGAATTAAATCGCGATACGTTCAGAGACATGGGCTTTAAAGATCCTTGATTAGCATTGTAAATCAATTAGTTGTATAGACTCTTCACTGAATTAGCATCATCATAAAGGGATTTATCCGAAGATGAAAAGAGCAGATCAGTGTGGGTTTCAATCAGAATACGTCAACATTTTCAGCACTTAGCAACCCTATTCTGCAAGTTTTGCGCCCTACTCATCTACAAGCATTGGTGAGTGTCGTTGCTGAAGGCAAGCCGTTCAAGCATTCAGTTACATTTCATGTACATTTATGACAATCGTAAAGTTATTTTGTTTTCCTATGAGCTTTGCTAATGTTTGGTAATTGCTAAGGGTTGTTGAAATGCTGGCAAAAATTCATTCATAAAGATGAACACTTATTCAGAAGATGGAGCGGATTTCTTATTCTAACGATTTTTCACTTTCTCAGAATTTGCCTTTGACCCTGAGTTTCCCCCTCCTTCCCTCCTGGCAAGCAAAAGTGGACAGTCGGACAATCCTGGCGGTTTCAGTTTCGATGAGTCGCTTTCGTGCATAACCTGGAAATAAATGACTGTAGTCTAGTGGGAACGAAAACTTTGGTACTTTGCTAGGAATAACGAAGAAAGTAACAACGTGAGAATAGCATCCATCTCTGTCTATTTTCGCACTCTTTTTCTACTCAATTTTCGGACAATTTGCGGATTCCAACATGCTATATCTGTGCTTTCACTAGGTGAGGTAGGTGGGTGGGTGGATGGGGAGTGAGGGCTTTAAGAAAAATTTCGTGTTGTTAGTCTAACCTGATTTATTGGATTTGTGTATGAAAGAACAATAACCAGTGGAGCTCATTATTACTGCCCGGAAATTCTTCTCTCTATTTTCACTCTCTTTGTTTTTCAGCTCCACAGCTTTGGAATCGATTTTGGGTGGCATTGTTCTTTATTCAATAAAAACTGTAATTTGGAGATAATAGGTTTAGGAATTCCACTGTATCTTCGCACTTACAGTCGCTTTCATTGCACTTCTAACCACTGCGCTACACGCGCTCTCATGGCTTTTGATAATGCCACGTCTCTTTTGGAATGGGTGATAACCGTATTTAACAAAATGGAGAATGTTGCTGTATTCTTAGATTATGCTCATGCATTGGCTGCAGCTAGTTCAAGGGTTAATTCAACGATCTAATCCTCTGAGCTTTATCGGTTTGTAGAAACTGGCCACCAAACGATAAAACCTTATTTCTTCGTCACACTGACTTCGCAGCTTTCTATGCACGGAAAATTCACATTAAGTGCTTTAATGAGTCAAACAAATGGAAAAACAGAGTGCCACATTGATGGTAGTGAGCAGGTTGGCGCGCCGAGAGAATATCTTGGATATCTAGTTATGATGTACGGCGGGAATCCATTCTCGGGCAGGATAACCTAATCGGACAACGGGCTCGTGTTCTTTTAGGATTCTGAGTATTAGTAGTTCTGTGCTAGAAATACCATAGCTCCTGAGAAATCTAGATGTATTGAAGGCACATATTCATGTAATCCAAATGGCCAGTTTGCAGCGACGAATTGGCATCGGTCTGGCCTTGGAATTTCATTGATGAAATTCGCGCAGCTATCGAAATTTCGACTAGATTGAAATTGTTGTGGGACCCAACTATACTTTTTCAAGACTCGAGTTCACATGCTGTGCAAATTACAGCACTGGTCTCATATGATTCGTTTCTTCGCATCAATCACAGGTCTTTGGCTTTGTGGGTTCGGCTGCCCATGAGAATTTTTGCTCTTCTTCACCAATGTCGTTGCATACTGGTCGAATCGATTCTTCTTTTCTTACCTTTCACTTATGACACTTTTACTTCGCAGTTTTTTTTAGTACTGCACAGAACTATGGACTAGAAATTTCAACAATTACTCATCTGCTATCAATTTTTCAATTTTTCATTTCAAGTACCAATCTGATTAAGGAGGGTTCTCAAGTTTTTTGAAAAAATGGGACCAGTTAAATTCAGTCACATTTACACGCAGAAATGGCGACCGCATGTCGCGAGGATTTCGAAACGTCCCAGTTCTTCCTATGCTCCATAAATAGCACCAGTTTGCCACTGTCCCACTTAAATTGAGTGGTATACAAGAAGAATGCAACCTTATTAAGGACGTGAAGACCTCTCAGCAAAGGTGTCGGTGACGGAAACGTCATCGAGAATACCCGTTTTATGATTTTTTGATGGAGGAGCTATTAAAACAAAAGCCAATCGCCAATCTATTCCATCAAAAAAGTTATCCATAAAACTATTCCTATTCCTATTAACTACTGTACTATTTGCTGCTTAGTAATAACTGTTAATCATTTACCACACATCAGTGAACAACATGTAGAAAATGAGGAAGACGAGATGAAAAGATATCACGTCATATTCCTGTCAATGCTCTTGAGACTAGCAACTCCTCCATTTCAACTTTTTCCAATGTTGTGTTCTTTTCATTTACTAGTTACCTTCCGCCTATCTAGTACTATCAGAAAATAACGGCTTCAGGAAATACTTTTGTGGAACGTCGGCGGTTGATGGGTTGGAGACTAAAGCGTTGTATGTTATAGAGATAGCTCAACGTTTTCTATCCACCACTAAGATTTTTTTTTGTTCAGATTTAAGGATTTTAACTCGAAGGCGCTGAGAAAGAAAAAAAAAAGCAGAGAAACTTACTCGAAGAGGCACCATTCAAGACAACATAGGATTGTAGACGAGTTTCCTTGTGCTATCGCACTGCACTGTTTGCTTACATTCTGTTACACTCGATGCTGATTCATGGACATTGCCTGACCTCACCCACCCTACACCCAATGAACAAGCCAGGTTTGGGACAAATTCTACACTACCTTTAATAGTGCATACTCATTTTTTCAATCACTAGTAGTTGCAATTAGAAAGGCTATTCACCACTTTTCAGTCTCTTCTCGACGACGCTGTTCATGGGGATAATTCGACCGCTCAAATCTGTGGACGAAGGAATGTGCACGGCGAATAACTGCCGTACGACATATTTTCCTTTTCTAAACGTTTGGACATCCTCCAATCGCACACTGACGAAAATTGCTGAGAATGTTTTGCTTTTCGCGAGTATGTCGTAATAGCATTTACGATTAGATTCCACTAATGCTGAAGCGTATGGCGTTCTCGTTTTTATAACCTCTTGTTGAAC